AGGGAATTTTGATATATAAAAATTTGTAAAAACTTGATTTGTGGCTTAGATTGATATTAACGTAGGTTGATATTATCTGGGGTCACCTGTATTATTTATTATTATTTATTTTAATTTATATTATCTTTTTTTTTTTTTTTTTTTATGTAATTAACTTTTTTAATTTAGGTTTTCATCAACTGTTACTTTATATATAACATATTGCACACACCAATTTTTATACAGAACTGGTAAATTAGAATTAATTATACTTACTAATTTAAATGTACGAATACAATAAAAATTAAATTAACCTATTTATAAACTTGAACAAATTATTTTAACACTTAGCAAATATTTATTATACTAATTTAGCAAATATTCTTTATAAATACAATATTTATACTATATATATTCAAATAAGCTCTTAGCATAATTACCACCCAAAATTAATAATGTGAATGACTACTATTATTATTATAGACTTCTTTGACATAGACTACTTCACTTTCAACAAGATATTTAAAATAATTTTGAGACAATGCTTTCTATTCATCTTTAACCATTCTTTCAAGCTCATTAAAGTTTCTGGGTCTTGAATAACGTTTTCTATACTTCTCTTCAGTCTCAGACCAAAGGTTCTCAATAGGATTAAGGTCTGTGCTATACGGAGGCCATTTAAATGTTTTAATACGCTTATTAGCTAGATAGTTTTTAACAATATTGCCTCTATAAGCTGAGGCACCATCATGTTGAAATATCTCATTATCATTAGGATATTGGTCCTGAAGCTTCGGAATGGCATAACAAATAAGCATTCTATGATAGGATTCGCTTGTGACACTACTGTAAAGACAGATAAAAGGGCCAAGACCCCACCAAGAAAAACATCTCCACATCATAATCCCTTTAGATTTGATAGCTAGAACAAGACAATCATTATTAAATTCTTCACCTGGCCTTCTCTATACATGCTGATATGGATTAGAATGGACTAAAGTAAAATACTTTTCATCTAACCAGAGAACATTCTTCCAGTTGGTAGTTGTCCAATTAAGATGCTTTTCTGCTCAATCTTTATACTCTTTTTTAGTCTTATCACTAATAAAAGACTTTACGCGGGCAACACGTGAGACCAGGTTAGCTTTGCGAAGAGTATGACTAATAGTTCTTTGAGAAATTATCTAAAATATATAAAATTTTAAAAAATAAAAAAAAATAAAATAAATAAAAAATAAAAATTTAAATTAAAAATTATTATTACTTTGCCTTCTTGCTGTTCCAATGTAGTTTAAATTTGTCTTTTAGTTATACAGTGATTACTTAAAACAAGTTGTGATAGATGATCTTGTGCCAATTCGTCTAAGGTTGGTGGTCTTCCTTGACGATTTGGTAATATTTGAGATGGGTTTTCAAGTCTGTTTAGCATATTTCCAACTGTCTTGGGATCATATCTGAAAAGTTTGGCAATTTGCCTATACGACTTGCCTAATTTTTGAGCAGATATAATTTCTCCACGTTTCCTTTGGTGAGTGTCATGATTTAAAGCTATAAAAGTGCTTCAATGAAATATATTTATATTTGTCAAATTTCTAATTAATAATTATG